TTTTTGCCAAATGATTTTATTGCCGAATAATTTTATTGCCGAATACTTATTTTTTGCCAAATGTTATATTTTTTTTTTGCTGAATGATTGTGTTTTTTTTAAGTGCCGAGTGGCATAAATTGGACCAAATAACAAAACTTCGGTATAAACTTTTATTAATAAATTTGGATTTAATTAGCTGTAATTCGACAGCCGAATAATCCAATTTGGACTAGTGTTAAACAATTATATTTTTAAAAAATTTTATTAAGATATTTTATAAGAAAAGCTTAAACAAAAAGTTTTTAAATGACTTAAAGAAAATAAATTTTAAATTTTGTATAAAACAAATAAGTTTTCTTAATATAATAAAAAAAAATATGAATTTTTTTATATTAAATTTTTATAGTAAAAAAATCAATAAATTTTATATTCAAAATTTTTTGAAAAATTTTTATTAAGATATTTTATAATATAAGCTTAAGTTAACTTGTTTTTTATATTATAAACAAGTAATTCATAAAATTTTATTTAAATCAAACAAATTTTCATTGTATAATAAACTAAAACAGTTTTTAAAATACTACATTTTTTTATAAAAATTTAAAAAATTGTACTATGTTTTTATAATAACTTATATATAAAACTTTGGTGAATTTGTCTTATCAATATTTGTTAACTTACATTAAACATAAATTTTAGGTATAAAAACAATAAAAAATTTTAAAAATGTTCTTAAGTAATCTTAAACTATAGGTTTTTAAAAATATTTTTATAAATTTTTATAATATTTAAATAATTATTAATAGAGTTATATTAAAAAACCAATTTCAAAAAATTATGAATAACCCTGTATAATATATTTAGATAGTATTTAATATATGGCATATAATATATGATAACCAATTATAAAAAATATTTGATATTATAATAATATAGGTTTTTAAATATTAATAGTTCTATTTTGTTTTACATTTAATTTTTTTAATTATTAAAATGAAATTATAAAGATATTAGAATAATTAAAATAAAGCATTAGCTTTATTATTTTATTGTTTCATTTTATATTATATACATATAATCTTCAAAAAACCAATAAAATTATATACAGTGTGGTGAAAAAAATTTTATAATTTTTTATTTATTTATTACTCAAAAACTACTGCATAGAAATTAATAAAAAAATATATTAAAATAAAGCTAAAAATCTAGAAATTTTATTAATATATAATTAATAATTAATTCTTTCTCCATTATTTTCAATTATTAATTCACATCTTTCTTTTATTAAATCTATAAAATTATTTAAAACCTTATTTGAAATTTTATCCTATTCTTCTATTATAATTCTAAAATATTTTTTAATAATCTCATTTCTATATTTCTTTTAGTAATAGCTCAAAGGTTTTCAATAGAATTTAAATCTGGACTATTAAAAGGCTAATCAATAATTTCTGAAAATTTTTCATTTAAAAATGCTTTAGCAATTTTACTTGTATACTTGAGACATTATTTTGTTGAAAGTGTTAATTGTTTTCAAGTAATCTATTAATTTCTTGTTTATAATTTTGCAAAATATTGATATAAAATTTTGCATTTATAATTTCTTTAAAACAAAAAAAAGAAGTTTTTCCTTTTATACAAAATTCTCCCTATGCAAAGATTTTAGTATGATTTTTAGGTATTCTTTTAACTGGTCTTGCACCTTTATACCATTAAATAAATGTATTTCTGAATAGTTGAAATGCTGTTTCATCAAGAAATAATGTTTTTTTCCAGTTATCATTAAGATGTTTTTTTGCCCAAATAATACAAGTTTCTTTATAAGTAATAGTAAGTATAGGTATTTCTAAAGATAAATTATTTTTGTAATCCATATTGACCAAATGTTTTAAAATTATTGAATATAATACTTTGGTATTAATATTTGATAATTTAATTACCAAAGTTCTTGAAGAAAGTCTTGGATTATAATATAAATATTGCCAATTGCTTTTAATTCATATACTATATAATCTTTTTAGGATGACCACTACCAGATTTTTTTGAATTATTGCCTTTTGAATTCAATTTTTTGAGATTGTAATAGATAGTTGACATGTTTATTCCAGTTTTGGAATATATTTCATATACAGAAGTAATTACATTATTTTATAAATATAATATAGTTTGTCATTAAGTATTTTTTTTAGAAGATAATATTGTAAAAATAAGTTTGTAACAAAAGTAAAATGATCAAATAATTTTAAGTACCTATATATATTGTTTGAAATATATTTTTTACATGTTTAAAATTTCATATGAATTGCTTTTGTTTTGAAAAAATTATATGCATTATATTATATAAATAATATTTCAAAATTTTTTGTATTATACTATATATTATTTTAGACTTGTATTTCTGCTTTATTTATTTATATTAGGAAAACATCTATATAAAAAAGAAATTTTTCCTTTTGGAAATAACAAAGTTGTCTGGTTTCTCTCATATTTAATAAAGTTTTTCTTTATTAATTATAAATAATATCTTATTTATAACTTTTTTTAATATAAAATATTACATAACAAGTTAAAACAATAGCATCTATTTCAAAAATAATTAAAGAAAAAGATCTTGAAACTATTTATTGGTTAAATAAAAAAAGATACAATTTTAAAAAAAAATTAACAATAAAAAATCAATATTTTTTTTTATTAGAAATCTTTAAATATAAAGTTTTAAAAAATATTCTTCTAAAAGTGCTTTTAAATAATTTTAATATTATTTATATTAATATAAATTAAATAATTTGATTAATTATAGATAATAAAAAGTAAGCAATTATAAAAAATTTGAATTTTGATTAGGGCTCCTAATGATACCACTTCAATACCACTTCAATACCAGTTTAATACTTAAATTTACTATAAAAACATATGAGTAGGTTACAACCCATATATTAAATTTACTATAGATTAGTACTATTTCGATACCAGTTCAATACCAGTTCGGTACTTTTTCGGAGCCCTAATTTTGATTTATTAAAACAATTTTTTTAAATAATAGTTAGAATAAAAAATAGTTTTTTTTTTCTTTTATTAATACTTGTACTGTTTTTTTTTACTTATTTTTTTTATTTTTTATTTTTATATAATTTCTATATAAAGAAAGTAATATAATTTGAATTTATAATTATAATTGTAGAAATAATTTAAAGGTTTTAATCATATTTAAAATTTTGAATCTTAATTTTTTTATTAAAAAAAAATTATTATTATTATTTATCTTTAATTTTATAACTTTAATAATTATTAAGTAATAAAAATATATTGATTAACCTTTATATTTTTATATTACTTAATAATTAAATTCTCAAGATTACTTTTGAAAATTAATAACAAGTATCCATATTTTAAAATTGCTTTGATATTTAATTAGTGAGTTTTGAATTTTTATATTTTTAAAATAATAAAAATTGATAAATTTTTTAATAATAAAAGAATTCAATTTATATATTATTAATATTTGTATATAATACAATAAATAAACATTCCTTATTTTTTTTATATTTTGCAAAATATTAAAATATTAATTTTTAATTTGATTACAATTTGTAATAATAGTATTAAATAAATAAATAAATTATTAAAAAAAAACACTTGTATATATTTATCTATAGTTTTGCTTATATTATAAATTTAATTGAGAGAATAATTATTATATTTGTTTTGTAACAATAATAAAGTTTCTATTATGATATTTTAATTAATAAATATAACTTTTTCATAAAGTTTTTATTAATAAATTTTATTATATTTCTTGAATTTATATAATTATTCATTAGAAAACCTTAATATTTCTTTAGAAACACTTAATATATTTGTTAATAATTTTGCTTTTTCAATAATTAAAACATCACTTAAAATTATTTTATTTGGATAAACTAATATAAGTTTTTTAAAAGCAAATTCAATAACAACTAATTTATGTCTTTTTGTATATGAATTTGTAAGTTTAATAGAAAGTTATTTTTCTTTTATTTGAAGAAATCTAGTAATTGTTGAGTCATTAACTTCAATTTTCCATTTTTGTTTAATTTATTTTATATATTCTAATTTATTTTTTTATTATTATAGGTTTAAAGACAAAATTCATATTTTGATAATGTTAATTATGGTAATCAATATTGCATGCATATTAGATTTTTTTTTTATAATATAATATTACATAATAATAATGTATTATACATTTATGGAGAAAATTTTAGTATACCAAATTTAAAATTTTTTTGCACATGCAGAAATTAGAAATATGCATTTAATAATATTGTCCAACTTGAAACCAAGTTTAATAATGCATTTAAAGAAAGTGAATTTAGAGAGAGTTTTCTGTATATAGTTTTTAAGGTTAAACATATCACAGAAAAATTTTTAGAAAAATCAAACAAAAATAATTAAACATTTTTTTAATATCAAAATTATAAATTATAAAAAAATTTTTTTGATTAATTTTTTTTATTATTAATCATAAAAGCAAGAAATATAGGTAAAAATGAATGGATTGATATAGAAAGAAGATAGAATAAAGTATACTGTATATTATTTATAATTGAGAAATTATATTTAATTATTTTTACATGTGAAAATTCTTCAAATAATTTATTATTTATGTATAAAAAAACATTCTGTGTGTTTAAGATTTCACATCTGCCATGTATTTTATCGTCCTTTCAAATTTTTCAAATTGATCTTTTATGTCTATTAATCCAAACTCAGATAACCTCGATGACATCTACTTGGTATAATGTACTCTGTTTTTCAAAACCAAATGATCAACATGGTGTAAATCAACAGCTCCTCTTAAAAACTCTGAAAATTTCAACAATTCCTGACACTTCTCGTCAACTGCTTCGGCCAATATCAGCGTGGTTGTCGCTTCCACGATGTAATTCTTTTCATCAAAAGGTTTTAGCGACGAAACGTCATGCACTTTATCCAACTGAAAGAAGATGCGAGCAAGATGGTAACCAGAATCGAGAATGTAGCAGGTAGATATAGAATTAAACGAGATCATGAATGCATACTTACAGTAAAGATCTGTGAAATATTAACTCTTAACAAGTCCCGAAAGGTAAAAACAATTCCTTTTTTCACGTACTCATATGCATACCTCGTGAGTAAAGTGAAGAGGTGATTTACAATAAATGAAGACGGTTGAATTTTCACTAACGACGCGCTCAAGAATTCACCCCTTACTTGTATCCAAGAACATTCAAAAATTTGAGCGCATCACCATTTAGGATTTTCGCATATAACACACTTCTAACCGTGACTCCTCGGCCAGAACGTGTCTCTGGATGACCAAGTTGACAGAGTTGCCTGAATAAAAAAAAATACATGTTCAGAGGAAAAGGTAAAATCGAGGGGATCAGATGTTATCTTTACCATTGACGTTTCGTCAAATCATTTTCTTCGATTGGTGATTTTAGCTTTAACAACAAATCGTCATTCCGAGATGGTCCATCAGGTGTTTGAACTGCTCATATTAAGTCAAATATAGAAATAATAAGCTTAAGATAACTTGGAAATTTGATGGAGCATGATTCTTACCTGAAGGTATGAACCCAATTTCATGCTCAAATATGTTGATGGGTGCTGTACCACAAATTCCTTCCAGTCTTTCTATCACTTTTTCTCTCAAACTCTCAGGTATTCTACCGTGTAATGAACACTCGAACAACAGCGGGGTTACCATGCTGTTGCTGCCCATTGTTATATCGTTCGTACGGGAGGACAGGTGTTTTTTACGCATGTCAACTTATTTGAAAGATTCATATGTCGTACAACATTACGTAATAACACGTGGCCCTGATTTTTTTTTTATTTAATGCATAAGACTTTTTTGCGACTTATCTATTTCATGTTTTGATGAATTAAAGCAATGCAATGTGATGACTATTTTTGAATTTTTGGATGAAAATTCCATTTTAAAATACACGAAACAATGTCATAATCTTAAACCATATTGGCCTTAAGAAAATTAACGTAATTTTTCGACTATCATTTCGTAAGCAAAGAATGTCGCCGCATTGGCAGGGAAAGCTCTCGCCATTGTAGGTCCAAAACCCTTAGAAAAAGCGCGAAATATTGAAGTATTTGTTTCTCGGGAGTGCGCAATTAATGCACGAAAACATTCAACAGTTGATTTGTATCTGTATCATTGAGATGATTGGTTTAAATTTGGTAGCGCATAACGTTGTTTTTTGAATGAACTTACTTGAGATCACTCTGCATCCTACTCTTGATCACATCCTGTGGATAACAAGGAACCCAACAGGCAATACCAGCCATTCCACCAGCAAAAAGTAATTCCAAGGATGAAAGATTTCCACGTTCATTTCCTTGCTTTCGATTTCCTATTATTTGTTTTGTCCCCTCGTATACAACTTTAAATGTTAAGAATGGTTAGCGCATGATATATGCGGAAGATACGCATAATACTTCACAACTCTTACAGAAATATGTCGCAAAGCTTGGCACATCTCGCAGTATGGTTATTGTGATGCCACGATATAAACCGGCAATTCCGCGACTCTTAAGCATTCGGAATCCAGCATCAAATACTCCATTATACTGCAATGAGAAGCAGTGCCTTTTAGGATATTGGTAAACATGAAAAACATATATACTTCAAACGAGAGAACCTACTGGCTTAAAGGTAGATGCATTAACGGTGTGTTGTGTTTGTAATTGAACTTTAAGTAGCTCCACAGGCGTATTGACGAATGCCATTACCGCACCGGTAAGTGCGCCGGATGCACCGACTTCGTCTGAAATTAAAATTCATGTCATTATTTTATTTGATTGATCCTGAATTCAAGAAAAAATCTATCAGAAGCATATTTACATAATGAAAGCGTTCGTGTCGTGTCACCGCCACTGACCATCCGACGAAAATTTGCGTTTACACTAAACAAAGTTGCGTTGCTAGTCCAAATATGGTAAGAACCACGATTAGCAAAAAAAACGAATCTGAAAAATGTGTGAACGTGATTTATCTCTTCGACTTACCAGATCCCAATTCCCATCAAAGGAGAATTGACCCCTCTGTAAAGACCAAGGAACTATTAAATTCGCAAAGATAAGTTCATTTCTCGCTCACAACCTCTACAGATCATAATTGTTGAATGTATTTACCGATTCATTTCTGACAATAGATTTACAACAATCTATCGCATTTTTATACCATTGTCCGTTAGTTTGAAGTCGAACTTTAACAGTGTCGAAAGGAAACCCTTTGGACGATAAAAGTTAACGTTAATCTCATTTTTAAAATATTACCGAACTATTAATTCTTCTTACCTACTGTTACTTGGGCCCAACCAGCAAAAGTACCAGCCACCGCCTCTTGTAGGAAGGGAGATGTGGTCAAGTTCGCGGCTGCGTGCGTAGATGTGATAATTTCGGCTGCCATACTTGCTGGTAGATGAGTCGAGCTGGTCTCGTTTACAAAAAAAACCAACTCCATAAAGGAGGTTTTTATAAATACGTAACCGCGGATTTCCAGAAAAGGAAGGCGGTGACTCTCATTATGTTATTATCTTATCTGTCGACCCGACCGATCCAATGGGTCGGTATGATCTGCAATTCAATAACTAAATAAGGGTCTACTTCTTTGATATATCACTGGCCCGACCCCATAAGATTTTAAGGATCTACAATCTTCGATTATCAAGTTAATGCGTAATATAACTCCATTATTTACGTAAATATTTACCAAATGCGGCTAGTAGAAGCGAATACTGGATTAACGATAATCAATTTATTACATGCTCAGGCAATTTTGGCATAAATAGATTATTCCATCGTATCATTACACATAAAATATGTAACTTTTCACACATTCAAAAAAACTCGGCGCCGTCAAAAACACCAAAAATGATCATTTTTACTGCGGCGATGGCGATTCACATACGGAGATACATTTTAAAAAGCTATTTTTTTGTTTAGATTAGTTTTTGAGTTTTCAACATTGTGAGAGTTTTTCTTCTTTGTTCTTTTCCAAATCGATTGAGCCAGGGTAACAATGATTAAACATTGGAATTTTTAAGGAATAAATCACGTGTTTCACGTGAAAAGATTATTTATCCTTTTATTATATGAACGCAGTCTCAATGACACGGATAACAAAGTTGAACATTTTTGACTTTCTTAGAAAACGCCGAACTTTGTAACAATAACTCAAATAACTGATCTATTACTTGATAATCATGAATTGTGTGGGCATTAAAAAAAACACGCATTATTAATCATGTGATCAACTGCCGTCTACATGTAGGGGAGCGAATTCTTATTAACATTGTGTAAGAACCATACATACTAATCTTTAATATTTCAGATTGTAAGCTAAATTCAAATAACTTTTATTATACAAAACTCCGAGAAAAAACCAATGTTTTGTATACAAATGAAAAAGATGGTTAGTAAGGTTCAAATCAAAGTCATTTCGTGATTTATTTGTTTTAGATTAAGCAAAAGCAAATTAACCCCTTTTTAAAAAATTTTTTTGAAATTGTTTTGTTTTAGATGTTCAAACACTTTGCATGCGTCTTCTATGTTACGATGCACCCTTAAATGTTAATTATATTTACCTATCGTTTTTCCGTCGTATCACTATCCGGTCCGAGCATTCCTATATATCTTATATTAGAAATACGTGAATGTGAACTAAAAATTAACCAATGACAACCGTAAAAATCTTACAAAAAGATTATCTAAACTTAAATTAACACAAGTTAAAATATCATTGTACATACAAACAAGTTTTCTCTTTGATATTGCATATCAAATAAACGGTATCGCTTTATTTAGAAATTAGACTAACTTAGAGTTCTAATTTTACTTTACTATCATTATCACTATCATTTTCATTTTCATTTTCTTATTACTATTACTATTCTCATTATTACTATCTCTGTTTTCTTTTTATCCACAACTTTCGAATATTGCACATATCGAATCAAGTAGAAAGAAAATTGCTTCATTATTAAATCACTGCTAATATTAATCGAGCTTTAAGCTTACATTTCTGAATATTATTAAATATAGGTGGCTGATATTTGTACCCCATATAATAAATTATATTCTAAATTTATGTTTTTTTAACACTTCATTTAATGACATTATTTAAATATTAAAATCATAAACATTTTTGGTTTAAAAAAAATTGTTATTTCATTGTGATTTGATTAATAGGTCGTTTGTTGCAATAAAATAATATTTTTTAAATAAGTTATAATATATATATCTATTTTTTTTATCATAATTTATTATATACGGGTACAAATAACAAATCTAGGAGGCCTAAATATTAGTTACTGCTATTTTAAATAAAAATCAATATACTGTATGTCATTTCATATTGCCAAAGATTAAAATAATAATAATAAACTATAGTGATATTTTAAAAAAGGTAATATGATTAAATCTAAAATAAATATTTTTAAAAATATTAAATTTTGATTTATTTGTTTTTGTATAATCCTTATCATCATTATCATTATTTTCTATTCTAAATTATATGTTTTATTGAAGAAATTGTAAAATCAAAACCAATATATTAATAATTTTTTCAAAAATGTCTTACTTGTTATAATTCAAGTTTTAAAATATTCAAAGTATAAAAGTAAATGTATGATATAATAAATCTTTCTGGTTATTATTTTTCAATAATTCATTAATTATATGAATATAAAAAAAATAAAACAAAGAAATATGATAATAAAAATATAATAATAATATTTTTTTTCACTAATTTATATTATTTAATAATAACAATATATTCAAATAATATACAATATAATATTAAAAAAATAACAAAATTTATGTATCACAAAATTACTTTATCTTAATCAACTTTAAATAAAATATAATTGGATTTTACTCTAATATAAACATAAACAAACAATTATTTTTTCTTAATTCTTCAATTATATTTTATTAACATTTCTAGTAAAATCTATTAATATAATATTAATTTTTTTTTTAATGTTAAAGTGGGACATTACTCATGATCTTTATTAATAAAGTAAAAATTTGACTTATTATATAATTAATATAAGATATGAATTATATCAATATAGATATTAGCCTACCATCTATTAAACAAATATATCATCTAAAAAATCCTTGGACAGGGAAAACCTGAGGAACTATTTGTTATGAAAAATAAAAATAAAAATAAAAAAATATTTTAGGCAAGATCGCCAACATTATAAAATTTGGATAAAATGAGAAAAGAAAAAAATTATTGAAACTTTTATTAGATATGGTTCTTGAATGTAGTTATATTGGTTCAATCAGATGTCGGCACCATGCAAACCACATGTAACTCAATGGATTTGATCATATAATGTTTTAGTTTTTTGACTGTGTAATGGATTAATTTCAAGTTTATGTTTTGTTATGAAACAGAATTGTATAGTATTTCTTGGTATGGGTTTGTTTTGATGATACTACCAAAACCTATGCAGGGCACTGATCTTGCACTCTTTCAATCTGGTAGATTGTTGTATCATTTTGATTTTTTTGAAAGTTATATGAGTGTTGATTAGTGTATTGAATATGATAGATCTTTTGATGGAGATAAACTGGATGTAGTTTTTGATAAGACAAAAATTATATGAAAACTATAAAGACTGTGCAGAAAACAAAAAACTCTGAAAAAAATAAAATACTATTTTTTAAAATAGTTTTTGAAAATGTTTAAAAAAAGAGAGTATTATTTATATTTTAAATGTGTTTTGTATAGAAATGAGTAAAAAGATTTTTTTTTAACTTATAGGTTGTTTACATAGGTTTCATTTAGTAAAGCAAAGAGTTTATTCAAAAAGATTTTTGCTCTTTCCAAAACATCAACTTCTTTATGGAAAGTTAATCGACTACTTGCACCCTGCAGGATCCTAACGATTCTTTTTAATTCTGTATTTGATTCTCAAGTTTATATTAAATTTAATAGGTGGGATATACTCCACTATTATTTTTAATAGTGTTTCGAATCTTATACGATTCTGTTTGATTCTATTCAATTCCAATTTTCAGAACCATAATCCTGCAGTAAGCGAAGATGAACTTCTTTTCCAGTGAAAGATTCTTGCTAACTGTTTACCATCTGCTATTTATATAATTACCAAAAAAGGAAATTTTTTACTAATTGGAGTGTTGTGGGAAAGAGTTTTTTTTTTTTTAATGTAATATTAATTTTTAAGCAAGTATAATATTAAATTATTTTATATTTTTAAAAATAAAATATATACAATACTAAAAAATCTATTTTATATATATTATAATTTTTTTTCCATAGGTAAATATCATTTTTTTATTTGATATTGTATATAACAAGATATACAGTAGATGGACAAAAGTTTATGAACAACTTTAAAAATTAAAAATCAAATTAAATTAATAAAAAATTAATTAAATAAAAAGTATATTTAAAATCTTTAAAAACTAAACTTTTAAAATAAAAAAATTTCAAAAAAAATTATGCAATAGTTTTTGAAAAAAAATTTTTAAAAATCTTTTCAAATTTCTTATTTAACAAGTATAATATATAAAAAAAAATTAAAATTTTTTAAATATTTAATTACACATTTTTTTATTATTAATTTATGTTCTATTGATTTATAAATATCTACTTAGCTAATTATATTTTTTTTAATATTTTGTAGCTCTCCTTTAGTCACGATACAAGCCATAATATGACGTGACATATTTTTGATCAATTGTTTGCAGTATGCCAGATCAATCTCATTCCAACATTTTAAAATACAATTCTCGAGCTCTATTAAATTATTAAATTTGATCTCACGAACTCAAACTTTAATATAATGCCAGAGGTTTTCGATCGGATTAAGATCTGGACTTCGAGAAGACCAGTCCATAACCTGAATATTTTTATCAACAAGAAACTTCATTGTAATTTTTGTGACATGTGGTCTTGCATTATCATATTGAAACCAAGAGTGGTCACTATGATTCTAATTGGTTCCATTATAATTTTGAAGTGCTAACAAAAGATGATCTTGAAGAGTTGTAATATATGACTTTGCTATAAGGGAAAAAAGATAAGTAAAAAAATTTTTTTTTATTTTATCTTATCTTTAACTGAGGTGCAAAAAGAAACAAGAGGGCCAATACTGAAAAACACACCCAATACATATGGCTTGAGCTATGGTTAATGGTGGCAAAAAGGTATTCAGCATTCCACTCTTCATGTGGACTATATCAAACATAACATTTACTCCCTTGCTAGAATTGAGTAAATGTAGACTTGTTGCTTTAAACTACTTTTTTGAAGTTCAAAATGGTCCAGTCTTTACATGCAAGACACCAGATAAGTTGGTCTTCAATATTTTTTTCTGAAAGAAAGGGCTTGGGGCAGACAATACAGTTTCTTAACTGTTTTTTATATAG